TAGATTTAAAATGCTATAATTTGTAAATTCTTGTTTGTTTCAAACTCAAATTGTAGCATTACAAATTTTAGAATTTGAAATCCATAGTTGTAACAAACAAGTTTTAGGATTACCAAAATAATAAATGGTGAATATAAGAACTTTGGTGATCTTACCTCCCACAAAAAAATAAATACAATTGTATAACATACAAGGTGCAGATTCAGTTTGTTTCAAGCCCCTTTAACAAAAATTAAACAAAACCTGTCCAAACACAAGTAATTTGGACCTAAGAACACAAGCAAGCAACCGCAAACAAGAAAAATTGACCCAATAACACAAGCAACAACACCCTCATGTAAGCTCAGGCCAGCTGCAAAAATTGAAACAAAACATTCGCTGCTTAATAGCATCTCATCCAAGACCTATCAAGCAATGCGAATACAAATTAAACATGGAAGTAAATGTGTACCTACATATTCTCGATAATATTCTCAGGAGCACTTTGAGCATGATGGAATGCAAATATAATGTCATATGCCACATCTAACGCTTCCTGCACAGCTGGATCTAGCTGCATTTCAGTTAACAGATAGTAATGTTACTCATTCAGCACAAAGCATTCAGAAAATTAGCAATAATGCTAGATAAAAACAAATGTATATTAATAACTTCTATCTAGATGCAAATAAACATATTATGAAATATTTTGTTAACACTAACCTACCTCTGGGTCTAGAAGATCAGAAACAACCTCTACCACTTTGTCCAATATAACTTTGTCAAACATTCAGGTATAACTGCAAGATTGAATTGCAACTGATCAAGCAACCAAAGCTTCAAAGTTCATTAAAACTAATGCTATAAAATATTATATATGGGCATTATATTTGAGCACATCGAAGGAGAACCAACTCTACAACAGCAACATCTCCTCTACTTTGCACATCATCCACAATGGGTTACACCTAATTCATTGACACACATTAAAGTTAGTCAAAATTTAGTAGTATCAATCAATAGATAATTAAAAAAACTCACCACACGGAAAGTAGAAGTGAAATCAATGCGAGGTCAAGCCTTAAGACCATTGAGCTAATCATGACTGAGCTCCGACAGCTTGTAAGATTAACCAAAGCTCAAACCCAAATTAACCAAAGCTCAAACTCAATTAACCAAAGCTCAAAACCAAATCCCATCAAAACAATTAACCAAAGCTCGGTTGAAAACATTATAATTGAAGACATGTTATTGCATTTTTTTGTCCTATACAATAAAATATTACAAAATTAGTTTACACATAAGTAAACCACACCATTCAAGCATTACAATTGAAATTCCAAGCCTCAGTTGCAATTTTAGTGAGTTCAGCATGTACCCAACTACCTATGAATACATAATAGCCAAAGAAAGATTGAGCACATGATAACGGTGCACTGAAAAAGCTTTGGAGGTAATAAATAATAACTTGATGTAAATGGACCCATCATCATAGCCTCAAATTCTTACGTGACCAATCATCATAGCCCCCATCAAAAACATGCTCAGTAACAAGCTCACAAGCAACTATTAGATCATAGCCCCCATCAAAAACATGCTCAGTAACAAGCTCACAAGCAACTATTAGAAAACAAACTGGTTTTGAAACAAACTGAAGCTAAAACAACCTGAATAACAAGCTCACAAGCAACTATTAGAAAACAAACTGGTTTTGAAACAAACTGAAGCTAAAACAACCTGAATCTGAAATAAACTGAGTACTGAAACAATCTGAATCAAGCTCACAAGCAACCATTAGACAAAGAATACAACCTTTTCCTGAGAATAAATATGAAACTGAAACTGAAACTGAAACCATAGAAAACAAGCAAGCTCACGAGCCAATAAGCAACTAAGTTCAACGTCAAACTTAAACTGAAACAACCAAGCTCACAAGCCATTAAAAACAAGCTTAGTGCTTAAATAACCAAGGCTGTAACAAACCTAGGCTGCAAGTAAACCCACAACAAACCTAGGCTGCAACAAACCAAGAAATGAACAAGGCTACAAGCAAGCAGCTCAAATAACCAAGGGTGAAACAAACCAACAAGGTTGTGGTCTACTTGCAACTCAAATAATCAAGTATCATAGCTGAAACTGAAACTGAAACCATGGAAAACAATCAAGCTCACAAGCAACCAAACCTGCAACAGAAGCAACTCAAATAACCAGTCTGCAAACTAGCCAAGTGCAAACAAAAGCAGCTCATATAACCAAGGCTGCAAACAAGCAAGCTGCATATAACCAGTCTGCAAAAAAGTCATATTATTCCAACAATAGCACAATATGTAATTGAAAATAGCCTGTGAAGACCAAGCAACCAAAACATTCAAGGATTGTGGTAGGGACAGATATGATCAGCCTTGTGCTAATATCAAGCAAAAATGTCTCAACTGCCAAGCAACACCACAGGTGCTAAATCTGAGAGACAACCCCTTCAGGGAACAAACATCAGAGAAGCATACCATTATTAAAGAGAAGTAAAAGAATGCGCTATGAGAAATACAATTTCCTACAGAATATAAAAAACAGTGTCGTAATTCCCCAATATTTGTCATAATAGGACCAAGGTAGGGGCTCAGATACAAGTATTAAAATTGAATACATGGATTACCTCATCTAACATTGTAAATGCAATATAGGTTGCAATCACAAGAATGGATTACCTTACCTAATATTGTAAATGCAATGTAGGTTGCAATCACATGAATAGATTGCCTTACCTAACATTGTAAATGCAATGTAGGTTGCAATCACATGAATGGATTGCCTTACCTAACATTGTAAATGCAATGTAGGTTGCATTCTCATCCTAAATTGCCCTACCTAAACATAGCAAAACATTGTAGATTGCATTCTCTTAACTAAGACCATCATCATTGCCCACATTGAAGACAACCATATAGACATACCAATACATATCGTGCAATGTAGGTATTCATAAAAACGTGTATATATATATATATAAACCTGCAAAAGAACCAAAGTTATAATGATATTGCAATTAGAGTAGTGAAATATGCAAGATATTGGCAAAAGCAGTGAAATATGCATAAAGTTACACCCGCTAAGTGTTCAACTTACATAATTAGAAACATAAAGCTACACCACTAAGTGTTCAACTTACAAAATTAGTTACATCATTAAGTTGTTAAATATACAATGAGTTTACAAAAGCAATAGATATGTCAAGTCTTCAAAAGTAGTGCAATATCAAGTTTTCATAAGTCAAACCCTTGCTCGTTGACAATCTTCTCTATAAATAGCTTTTGAGAATTTTTGGTTTTGATGATCAACCTCCTAGATTCTGATTCATGGTCATACAAGTAATCAAGCACTTTATCCAATGTCTCCTCAGAAAACTCATTCTCATGCGTCATTAGAGCATTCGCCATGGTCTCACTCTAATGCACAACACGTTGATTTACACTTTGATTTTGAATTGAGAACGACATCGTGTCAATGAAATTGTGCATGAGAGTCTCATCATCTTTAGCCTTGCTACTCTTCTTCCTATGAGTTAATATTTCAATTGATGCAGAAGCTACCCCACTAGAAGTCTTCAATTTTTTAGCTTGAGAGTTATGGTTTTGCCCAATTTATTTCTCGGGCTCAAGACGTAGGCTTGAGGACAAATCAACCTCAGTATCACTAAGTGTTACATGATCCTCATCAACCGTATCATGTTGCCTAGAGCCAAGCTTTTTAGTCATATCTTTGGTAAAATCACCCTTTGCTTGTCATCTCCTGCGATATAACACAAGTTCTCATAGTGAATGAGAGGAGTGTTCAAATACTCCTTCAACCTAGAGCTATTGCATTTTTTATCCTATACAATAAAATATTACAAAATCAGTTTACTCAGAACTAAATATTCAAAGTTTGCTTATTTAGAAAAAATATTACATGTGTCCACCTATCAAAACAATCTGGATCCATGGTGACAATCTTAGTTTGTGGATCATAACCAGCCCCACTCATGTTCATGACAGTGCACATATCAAAATATTTACCCTTCAAGGACTTGACATGGTTCATGACATTCTCCTTTGTGAACTCAGTGCCACATTTCTTGTTGACCTCCTCTGTAGCTCTTCGATATGCGAGAACCTTAAAGTTTTTATCAACTTTGAGTCCATCCTTTGCCATCTGAGTAAGGAAGGGGATTAACACATCATCATTTTCTGCAGTCCATTTAGCATTAGGCACCCCCTTGTATTCTCTTTCTTATTCAAGACTTTTGGTGGTATTTTTCTTTTAGTAACTACCCGCTTCTTGCTTTTGCTTGGTGAGGTAGCGTCAGCCTCAAGGTCAATTGCAATTGGCCTCTTCAAAGAAGGAGTCTCACTTGAATGGGTACCAAGGGAAGTATGGAAAAGTGGGTGGCCACTGTTAAGCATATTCACAAACGACATGGGTTCTTGAGTCATAAATGAGTAGTTCATATCATAAGGATTGTAAGATGGATAAGTCGGTGGAGCAATGTATTAGGGTGGAGGGAATGGTTGTGTAATGGGTGGTGAGGGAGCCGGGAAGTATGGATAAGTGGGTATTGTTGGTGTTCTAGGTGAAGTATTCTTGAACTTATCACTTCCATTAGAATCTACCATGACTGATTGCTACAAATGAAAACAGACAAATAACAAATTTCAAATCTCATGTTAGTACAATAATAGAGTACGAACATCAAAAAATAGCATTCATAAAGCCCAATCATCATAGATAAATCCGGAAAACTCAAATAATCCAAGAGCATGAAAAACCAGTATGCAAACAAGCCAAGCAACTCATATAATCAAGGTTACAAACAAGCAAAAAATAAAACAGAACCGCAAACTAGCAAGTTGGATATATGCAAAAATAGCATTCATAATGATAATATACCCATTTATCCATGAGTACAGTTGTAATATCAACAAATACATAGAGGTAGTAGACAATATATCAACGAGTACAATAATACATGGAAAATATAACTTAAATTACATCCCAATCTCGGTTGTGTCTCCACCATGATATTTATCACAATAATTTTCCCACATTTCAATTGCAATTTGATCCCTCTTTGCTCTCCATTCATATTTTGGATCTCCTTCCTCTCTTTGTGCCATAGTTTGAGTAAAGTCAACAACACCCTCTTCACCTTCATTTGCTACTTCATCTCTATCCTCTTCAATATGGTTGTCCTCATGCAACAACTCATCGCCCGGGTCTTCTATGGCGATGTAGTTATGAAGTATAGTACATGCAATAACTATATCAACTTGAGTTGGAAAAGGGTAATGCGACTTCGCGGATAGGATTTTGAAACGATTTTTCAATACACCAAAAGTTGATTCAATTTTAGACCTTAGGGATGAGTGTCTTAAATTGAACAACTCTTGTCTATTATTAATTGGCCTACCCTTGTGCTCATTTAGATGATACCGTACTCCTCGATATGGGGAGATAAAGCCATGCATAGTAGTGTAGCCCGCATCACACAAATAATATTTTCCTACAATTACCAAAAAAAATTTAGTATATTTTTTAATTATAATTAAGTAGACATACTTTATTTGATTGATTTATTGCCGTCATAAACTCTCAATCCGCGAGGTTGTGGTCTAGATAACGCATCTTGCAAAACACTATAATCATTTGCGGATTCCTCCCATCTAGCTAGAACATACAAAAATAACTTGTTGGGAGTGCATGTAGCTAGAACATTTTGAGTTACACCTTTACGACCTCTAAAACGTGCAACAAGGCTAGCGGGAAGCATGGTGTCGATATGGGTTCCATCTATCATGCTAATGCAATCTTATATGATACATTAAACAGTTATCAATAATAGAAAGGAAAAATTAACTGTTATATTATGAGTAGTTATATTATAATAATGATTACCTTGAAATAAGGATAGTATAACGGGTTAGTGGCAATCTCTGGCGATACTTCACTTGTAGCTTGCTTCATGTACCGCCCCCTTAAACGACCCACAGCTTCCAAGCACTTATTAAAGTATTTTGATACAGTTTCCCTCGATCTTATGAAATATGACCTAACAATTCTATTTTTTGTTTTATGGCCTAATATATTAAGGAACATGAGCAATTGTTCTTCTACTTTAACACCTCGTGAATCTTTTAGTAGGCCGGTATATCTCATTATGCTAACAAGATTATGAAATGCATGCGGCCTCATTCTAACATAAGCCCTACAACTCTCATTATAGCCATTAAACACACGACTAATGTGCCTAGCTCTCATACCTATCTTCTCTCTATTGTGCAATGTAGGTTGATAAGTGATTGATTTTCTTCTACTACGTATCCTCATCAAATAAGCAAACACACAAATCACCGCGGAGATAATAGCATTAGAAGCCATCCTCATTAACATCTCTTCATCAATGTCCTCCATCTACATTATTTTAAAAAACTCACAAAGTCACAAAACTTCATTAATGAATCTTTATATATTAAGAATAAGAATAATCCAAGCAATAGATAGAGAACAATTTCATCCCCAAATCTGCCACAAATTTCACAGTCTAATAATTGTGCCAAACCAATTTCACAAAAACCCTGTGTGGTGAGGGTCATGCATATATGATGATTATGATCCTATTAACGTGAGGGTCATGCCTATGCCTGAAGTACAAGAACATTGAATTTGAATCACCACTCTTTGCAACTATGCTATTCCTACCAGGACCTTTTTGCCATAAGCCAGCAAAGAATTGCGGTTGACTTGTAAGGGAGAGTTTTTAAATTTATTTGGCTGAGGTTAGTTAGCTATAATTTTCTCAAAATTTTCCTTTACTAGTCCTTGCATTTCTTTCAAATATATTTCCTTCTTAAGGACTGACTAATAAGTCAAGTAGATTCATCTCAACTTTCGTGGTAGGAATTCTGTATCCTAAATCAGAACAAATAAGATACAGAGTAACTTGTAAACCCTTGAAAAAATAAGCTGAAATATGAAAGAAATCACCAAGACCAAAAGAACTCACACCAAAAGCATGCACATCTAACCTCAAACAATCTTTATAGCATGCAATAGCAGATCGGTTATCTCTAGAGATACGATAAAGCTTCCCCATGGTAAGATTCATACATAGAGTTCTTGCTTTAGATGGGATTCCTCAAATACGAGTACATAAAAAAATCAAATATGCCTCATGTAAATGATGAATGCAGAAAAAAAGAAAAAAAAGTCATAAGGGAAAGGAGAAATAAAGGAGAAAAAAAACTCCAAGCAATAGAACTAATTAATTTCATATATAACCCCAAATCTGCCACAAATTTCACAGTCTAATAATCCAAGCAATAGAACTCAAGTAAATTTCACAATAAACTCCCGAATATTTTCACTAATTCACAAATTACAAAAGAACTCTAATTTTATGAAGAAAGGGAACGAGTTTACCTGCCGCGGAGGAGGCTTAGTTGTCGGAGAACTATTCGGCGCAGCCTGAGAATTTCGGTAAAACAAATAGAATCCCAAATCAATTTACACCCAACTAACGTTAGGGAGAGTTGAGGAGAGGAAAGACCGTGGATCTGTGAGATTGGGAGCGCGAGGAGGAGGCGGAGCCCGGCTGAGGTTGAGGGTGGAGAGGAGGGAGAGGGGTGGGGTCGTTGACAGCAGGAGGAGGAAACGATTCTACGGCGTTTTCGCGTGGTGATAATGAGAGCGACGGGTTAAAAGAGGATGGAGACGAATATGGACGACGCGGTGATTATGAGGGTTGGGTCCTGGGAATCGTCGAGCGAGAGTAGTTTTGTGAGTTGGATGGGTTTTTGTTAGAGATCCACCAAATTACTATAAGAAGTAGGATTCTTGCAAAATCCTAAAAATATTAGTAGATTTCATAATTTTGGGGATCAATATTCTCAATTTGGTTTGGAAAGCTAAACAAAGTTTATAAGATTTCTATAAACCCCAAAAACTCACTTTTTGATCTAAAATTGAATCCCACTCAAATGCAAATTTTTTTGAAACAAACACCGCTCTTAGAATGAGAGGAGAGATATAGGACACCTCACTCAACCAAGCATAAAATTTGTGCTTGATAGTGAGGTGGGATATTTTCCCTTCACTCATCTGAAATTGGCTTCACATTCACATGTGTTAAGGAAGTGGTTGAGATTAGAATGATGAATGAGAATAGGACAGCCTCACTACGTCAAGCACAAAATTATTTCTTGGTACCAAGCATACACAATTTTTTCTCAATATATATATATATTATATAGATATAATATACTATATATCATTATACTATAATATATAATACTATAAACTAGTATAATATATATAATTATATACACAACACACGAACACACACACACCACACACACACAACACCCACAAGACACACGACACACACGACACGCACACACACACCCACACACACACAGCACCACACACACAGCACACACAGCACATCACCACATATATATATATATTATATAATATAGTATAGTATATATATATATAGTATCTAGAGAGAGAGAGAGAGAAGAGAGGCAGAGAGAGAGAGAAGTGTGTATGTTTGGTACCAAGCAGCAAATTCTTTGCTTCGTAGTGGAGTGTGCATATTCTCATCACTCATTCTAATTTCCCAACGAATGTGAATGTGGGTCCCAATTTCAATAAGTTGGAGGGGAGTATAGCCACTTCACTACAACGCACAAACTTGTTGGCCTTGGTATCTGAAGCATAACCAATTCTTCTCCATATATAATATATATATAGTAATATATATATAATATATATAATTAAAATTACTCATATAGTATATATATCTATATATATATGTACATATTAAGATTTTTTGGTTAAACTACTTTTTAAAAATGAGTATTTAGTGCTTCAAGCAGTCTGTTGTTCGAGGCTTGCCAACGGCAAGCCAATAATTATTTTTATTCAATTAATCCTTCATAAGTTCTAGTGGGCCGTGGGCCATAGGCTCATGGGCTCGTGGACCATGGGCTAATGGGTAGGGGATCGGGGCTAATCGGGCTGAGGCGCTAAGTGATGCTTTGTAACGCGCACTTTGCACTTCGTACGGAGGCATCGGGGCTAAGTGGCACCCTTTAGCACTACTGTGGCCGCCAAGAAGGCTGCCTCGCAGCAAGGGAACACGACCCTCGCGTTCGCACGAGGGTGTGACCCTCTTATTCGCGAGAGGGAACACGACCCTCGCATTCGCGAGGATAGACGTGACCCTCGTGTTCACGAGGCTAGATGTGACCCTCGCGTTGGGTAGAAACGTGACCCTCGTGTTCAGACATTTCTACATGTAGCAATTAAAACTGCATGTAGTAGTTACAGTAATTAAGTTATTTATTGTTATAATCATAATTGTCATTATGATTTGTAATAGTCAAATGATTCTTGAGCTAGCCTTAGAGACCTATAACTAGAGTCACTTGGGGCAGCTCTCATAGATACAAAAAATAACACATTGCAGTATTTAAGTTGTCCTGTTGCTGCTGTAGAGTTTGAAAAGATGCAAGTTTTAGTCTGTACCCAAAGGAATATAGCCCTGAACCGAAAGGTTATTACGAATTAAAAGATCTTTGTCTTAACCGAATGGTTTTTGAACTGAAAGGTTTTAACATATCAAGGAGATCTTTACCTGAATCGAAAGATTTAAACCGAAAGGTTTAACAGATTGAGGAGATCTTTGCCTTGACCAAAATGACTTATAGATCGAGGAGATCTTAACTATACTTGGTCGGTGCACACCAGTGTACTGTACTGCTGTTCGTGGAAGCAGTTTGGCCTTGGGATCATTGTACAAGAGTAGACCAAATATTACTTTAAGCACATCGTTTCATAAATGCATAGCAGCTAAACTTAAAAAAAATTAAAATATAGTACTTGGAGTGGACTGTCTTAAGTTAGAGAACTTTAACGGATCCAACTTTAACGCATGGCGTCGAAAAGTAATTTTCGGGATGCAACTCCTGAAAATCTACTACATGGTTTCTATGGAGAAACCCGACTCTGAAGAAGATTCTGAGTCTGAAGCCTCTTAGACTAGAGATGATCACTTCTGCAGGAGTTATCTCCTTAACTGTCTGGCCGACCATTTAGCAGATACTTACACCAACAAACCCTCTACAAATAAAATCTGGAATGCTTTCGAGGACCAGTACAAGGATGAGGAGAACCTATCCAAGTCTCACCTCATTGACAAGTTTCTAGATTTTAAATTCAAAGATGACACTGAGATTTTACCTCAAGTCAAAGAGATTGAAAAACTTGTTATGAAGCTGAAGCTGAAAATATCAATATTTGTCAAACCTTTATTTCTGGTGCAATTATAACCAAGCTTTCTCCATCTTGGATGTCATTCTCCACTAACATTCAAAGAAGGAAAAGACAGATGGCTCTGTCTGATTTGAAGAGGCTCATTCGGATCGAGGACGAGATTCGGACTCGCACGAAGAATGAGCTCCTTGCTAAGCAGAAGGCGCCTGCTAACATGGTGGCTGCTAACTTTGAGAAGGATACTAGTTCTTCTTCCAAGAAGAAGAATAAGTCATTTAACAAAAAAAAGAACCAAAACCCGAAGAATCTAAATGTTCAGAAGAAAGAGTTCAAGAAGAGCAGCAAATGCTTCAACTATGGGAAGCAAGGATAATTTGCCAAGGACTGTAAAGCACCAAATAAGGGAACATCACACAATGTTAATCAAGTTGACAATTATGTGGCTATGCTCTTTTAGGTGACAACTCCTAACAACATCTCTGGTTGGTGGTCAGACACAGGTGCTACCTGTCATGTCTACTCCAACAGAGATTTGTTCTCTTCTTATATTGCTGCCAAAGAGAACGTATCAATGATAATTATTCTGTAGTGCATGTTCTTGAAACTGGGATTGTGGTGCTGACTCTCTCTTCAGGGAAGACTCTCATATTGAAGGATGTGAAACATATTCCTTTAATTGCTAAAAACTTAGTCTCTGGAAGTCTACTATGTATCACACGTATGAGGCTGGATTTTTAAGGAGGAAATGGTGTGCTATCTTTTAAGAAAATATATTTTGGAAATACATATCGTACTAATGACATGTATAAGATTAGTATTATTGTACCTAACTCTGTTATAAATGAAATATCTTCTTCTGGTTACTTCTCTGAATTATGGCATAATAGACTGGGACATGTAAATTATAGAAAACTGTCTAGCATTGAGAAGTTAGGATTACTTCCAAAATGTGGGGGTAACAAACCTGAGAAGTGTGAAGTCTGCGCGTAAGCAAAATTGACAAGGAAGCTCTTTCCAAGTGTTACAAAAAGCACCAACCTATTGGATCTGATTCACTTAGATACTTGTGACTTCAAGAACTTCGTCTCTCGATGCGGCATGAAGTACTTCATCATCTTTATTGATGATCATTCTTACTTCTGCCACGTCTACCTGCTGAAATCTAATAATGAAGCCTTCAGCAAGTTTATCGAGTTTCGAACTTGTGTGGAGAAGCAGCTTAGACTTCAGGTGAAAAGACTCAGGAGCGATGGGGAAGGAGAGTAGCGATCTAAGGAGTCAGAAGCATACTTCAAGGAGCATGGAATCATTACTGAAACTACTGCTCCGTATTCTATGCAATCCAATAGAATTGCAGATAAGAAGAATCACACATTGATCGAGATGGTGAATTCGATACTAATCACATCTGGTCTACCTACCTGGTATTGGGGAGAGGCTATGCTGATGGCTAACTGAATTCTAAACAGAGTACCCTATCCAAAACTGACAGTACTCATCATCAATTATGGTTGGAATATCCAGATCCTTTGGATAGTCTCAAAGTGTGAGGGTGTCTCGCATATGTTCGAGTTCCATATATCAGAAGGCCTAAGCTTAGACCAAAGGCAAACAGGTGTGTGTTTCTTGGCTTTGCTGAAGATAGCGATGCTTATAGATTCCTGAACCTTGGAACCAACTCCATCATTGAAACTCGGGATGCAGAATTCTTTGAGGACAAGTTTATCAAGGAGAAAGGTTTATTGCTTAAAGATATACCAGAGATTGCTGGTACGTCAGATGCACCAGAGATCATTGAAGCTCGGGATGCAGAGAACG